TTTATCCAGCCTTGACTACTTCAGAATCCTAGAGAAAAAAGAACGGAGGAACTTCAGCAGGGGTCTAATGAAATCCTCTTTATAACGGCAGCGAAAAAGTTTGGTCTCGAGCCCCGTCTCACAGAGATAAAAAAAAAAACTGTTGAGAAAATCATACCGTGTGAGATTCAAGATGGGAATTGTATTCGGTGCAGTGGACATTACAGCTGAATGAACTTTTCATCTAAAACAATTCTGCGCCTTGTAGTGGCCGAGACTTCTAATTAGTCTGAACAGTCTCACCTACTGCAGCTTGCTCAGGTCATGTTCTATTCTGGTGCTGGTAGTTAAGTGAAGATTGAGTGCAGTAGTGTGAATCAATACATGACAGGCAGAATTACTCATACAAATTAATAAGCACGATAGCCGAGTCTCATGACACACACACATCAATACTTGCCTTGCAGAAAAAGAGAAAAAACACCACAAAACATCAGCTATCCTAGTTAGCATTCAGATGTAGACCCTTAAACAGTGGGAAATCTTAGATTAACATCTTCACTTCAAACTGGACAAGATCCTTTCATCTTCTTTAAGGGAAAAATCAAACTGACCACTTGGCTGTACTAACTTTTTTCTGAAATTGTCATCTTAATTATATTTTTAATACAGCTAGTTTCACAACTTTTGTGTTGCATCTGCTTCCCATGCTTGGTCACCTATACAGCACCTCTGGGATCAGGAGAGGGTGGTTGAAATGATGGCCCAATAAGCACTCTTCTGATTTGTGGTCTAAAGCTGGCCATACACCTATAGATTATTTGCAGATTTTCTATGGTCACATAGAAAAATGCAACAGATTCCTCCGTCCACGTAAACTGTGCGGATGGAGGAATCTCCCACTAGGCCAAGCTTCAGTATCTTGCTAGTCGGCCTCGCTGGCTCTCAAAATACCTGAACAATGCCTGCATTCAATCAGATTATTTTGACAGCCAGTGGGACCAACTAGCAAGATACTGAAGCTCGGCCCAGTGGGAGATTCCTCCATCCACACAGTTTAGCGTAGATGGAGGAATCTGTTGCACTTTTTCCATCTGACCATAGAAAATTTGCATATAATCTATAGGTGTATGGCCAGCTTTACACTTTGAAGAGGTGAGGAAAGCACAGAGATGTCTTTGTCAACCATGTATTCAGCTTTGATCAATGAATTCAGGATCCCAAACAAGAATATGCAATAGTGAAAAACCTATTACTGACAGAACAAACCTGGATCCATTTAGGAAATAGGCCCACAAACTGGAAAAATTGGAAACTTGTTTTGTATGAATATAATGGAGCAACCATTGCCATATCCAGGACCCAGTTTTAAACAAAATTACAGGAGGATGTAAACATCGGAGCAGGCCATGCTATGGAGCCAAGTAAGCATCTGGGAGGGGGGGATTAAATCAGCGTAAATTACTTGAGGAAGGGTGGGCTAGCAATACGACCGGTAAAGAGCCAGCTGCGCTTTAAAGATATAATCTTAAAGTGACATTAAACCCTCAGATTTTTTAACATAAAACAATACTGTAATGTGTGCCTTACTGTAATCCATGGTTGTTTCCCTTCTCTTTGCTGCTCTTCCTTTTAAATCTGTATCTGTTCTCATGCTGGGCAGAACTTCTGTTTTGCAGCAGACTGCCTTGTCTCTGGAATAGATACATGGTGTCTGTGTGCAGGTTCACAACCTGAGCCAGCACTACAGGAAGAGGCCCTGAGCTGCAAAGGGAAGTTCTCCCCAAGCAGGAGACAACATGAGGATTTAAAAGGAAGAGCAGCAAAGAGAAGGGAAACAACCATGGATTACAGTAAGGCACACATTACAGTATTGTTTTATGTTAAAAAATCTGAGGGTTTAATGTCACTTTAAGAAGTCATACCAATGAGCTAAAATACTTTATAAATATTAGTCTACCACAAGGTAACTAAACCATGGAACTGCAGGAAGTTTGATCAAGAAATTGAAGATGCGACATAATAAATATTAGAAACGCAGAATAGTTCTTTAACAGTGTAAGAAATATATACCCGCTGTCAGTTTGAAGCTTTTAGCAGGCAATAACCTTCCACAAAACACATTTAATAACTATTTAAAGTGACACTAAACTCAGGAGTGAAATCCTAAAAATACATTTAAGTACTTTAACTATTAACAAAATATGTACTTATTTGTATCACTCGGCTGTAGATCCCTCTCTGAACTGGTGCCAACAATGTCTTTCCTTCTGGAGGGTGGCTACTTTTGTTCCCCATGTGTGTGTGTTGTAAAGTAGCCACCACTCCACGCTCACTCCCGTGATGGACTACATTCTCACATTTAGTTTACTAATTTGAATTGAGGTTGTAGCCCATCATGGGAGCAAGCTTGGAGCGGTGGCTACTTTACAACATACACAGGGACCATGGGGAACAAAAATAGCCACCCTCCAGAAGGAAGGACAGTGTCAGCCCCAATTCAGAGATGATTTGAGGATCTACGGCTGAGTGATACACAAATATGATACATTTTTGTTAATAGTTAGGGTACTTGAATGCATTTTTAAGATTTAACTCCCGAGTTAGTCTCACTTTAAAGATATGATATGCTTGTGAAATCTTTAAATTCCTCATCATACAAAAGGCATATTATCAGGAATAAACAACATACTGTATAAAATGCTCTCTCTCTCATAGGACTGTCACAACACACAGCTTGATTAGAACAACCAAAGTAATAAAGATGCGTGAGAAAATGTCAGCAAATAATGGATCTGAAAATATTGTATAAAACAAAAATACAATGAGATATCATCCCATATTTAAGTCTTAAATTGAACTTGGCACAAACCTGGATAATTTAAGCTGGGTATATGATGAATCAATTCATAATGGTATATAACGTGGCACATATTAAACTTACTGTTTCCCTGTAAGGGTCAAGTAGATTTTTTTTAAAGAACATAACAAGCTTTTATTTCATTTTCATTAATAAAGACTGGAAAATGTATTAAACTTTTTTTTCCCTATTTTTTTAACTCATTATTATTGTTTTTAACTTGCATTCTGAAAAAGATATGAAACTGCAGCCTAAAGAAGGTTGGGTGCTGATCATCAATAGGGACCCCGGCTCTCAGTGACAGACGGGATTAAGGGCCTGCAGCTTTAAAAAGGGAAAATAGGATTTTTGTACTGCCAATAAAAACCTTTTCTCTTTCATTGAAGGACAGCCACATAGAATCTTGACCAATAGGGTTATAACGCTGCCACAACCCATTCAGCTAGCAGCAAACAGTACACAGAATCATGGCAAAACACCATAACCTCACAACAGGGTGGGTGCTGTGGCCTTCACTGAAAGCAGGGAAATTACAGTTATGGGCTTCTAAGCAATAGGTGTACAACCTATGGATCGGGACTCGAACTAGAGTCCTAAGACCAGAAATCTCACTTTTATGACCGCATACAATGGTAACATCGCAGATAATGCTGCACTGGCACTTGGTACCACAAAAAAAGGTGGAGGACCCCGCTCTATATAGTTTGGGTGCTCTTCATAAATATTTTATTGTAAGTAACACAGGCAGAAAGGTAAGAAAACGTCTCACATCTTACAATGCAATAAAAACATATGTAGTATTTTCTAACGATATTTATACTTTTTGTCCAGGTTTTTCAGAAATTCATCCACTCAAAACATGTTTTCGCTAATTTGGCAATAGAGAAGTTACATTTCTCAATTTGTTTTAGAACTACTGTCAGGTTTTTATTCCTACCTGTAGCTACATTAAAGTGATTTCCCCTCACTTCCTGTCCCAGTGATGGGTGTACAAAATAGAAGTCTAGAGAAATCTCAAAGAAGACACAGACAACAATGAAAACCTGATAAAGTTATTAATCCTTCCCCATGCAAAACAAAACCCTGGTTTTCATAAAAAATCCATCTCCATCTTTCACTGTCAAGAGGCAGAGAGACACAAACTGCTACGGTGCCTATGGGCAAATAAAAACAATATTTTCCCTGCAAAGGAGATCAAAACCTTACTCCAGCCAAAACATTTATTTTTTCAAGATCATCAGATGGGAAAAATTGTATGTTTCAGACTGACTTACCTGTTTATAAGTTACGGCAAGGATACAGTCAAAATGAACATGCATACGTGTATTCAAAGTTCCTTATGGGGGTGTATACTCTAGCAGACATGCATGTGCTCTTAGCTTTTCAAAATGTGTAATGTAAAACCTAAGCAGGAAGTCATTACAAATTCAAGGTGTAGATCCATGCTGGTTTGTCATTAAGGGAATAAAGGCTGTGACACACGGCACGCGAAGGGGTAGCGCGCTGCCTTCGCGAGCAGTGCGTCATGTAATTTTCTCCTCGGCACCTCAGCTTGCGTAACTGAGCATGCCGAGATGAAAAATGTCATCTTCAGCCAATCGGCTCACGCGTATAAAGCGGCGCGATACGATGTCTGGCCGGTTTTCACGCAGGAGCCGATTGACTGAAGGTGCAATAAATCATGTGCCTGCATTAAGCTCACACACTGCACGCAAAGCTCCGTGCCGGACAGCTTTGCTTCGCTCTGCATTGCGTGCAGTGTGTCACGACCTTAAGCCCTCGTTCACACCTGAAAGTTTTGTAGTGCGTTCTACACTCGACGAACGCTCAAAAATATAAATCCCATTGTATTCAATGGTCTCGCTCCCACCTTGGCGTATTTCCGCCTGTCCCTAACGCGCTACAAAACGGCCCATGCCTGAAAAGGTACATGTACTACTTTGGGCCGTTTTGTTGCGCGTTTCCATTGGGATACAGCCAAGTAGCCTTCGGAAACGCGCAACTTTTTTTACCGCGAAACACATATGCAATACGCCTAGGTGTGCAAAGACACGCATATGCAATACGCCTAGGTGTGAACGAGACCTAAAGCAAAATACTCAAGCATTTTACAACGTTTATTTCATTCATAAACAATGGCATTTTGTATGATTCAGCTTACTTCCTTATCCATGCTCTCCAAGTCTTCCTTGCAAAGGGTATACAAAGGCATACTTTCAGACATGCTAGGCTGACGCTTTCTTCGAGCTGGACCAGACTGTTCCTCCTCTGCACTTGCTGTAGGCAGCTCTTCATCATCATCATCATCATCATCATCAACAAACAGTTGTTCTTGATTGGGCTGAACAACTCTGTCAAATAAAATGAGTTTCCTTAGTCAATTAACATGCTGTGTATCAGTACTTGAGCAAGTTTCATGCTACTGTAAACTGAAGTGCTTTTCCACTTTCAGATAATTATTTGTTTTCCTCATTGCATACCTAAATAATGTGCTTTATTTTCTTCATCTGGCCTTTGTTTAGGCAAATGTGTATAATAAACAAGCCATATATATTATTAGGAGGAAAATGCCCAGAATATTCCATAAAGAGGAACTGAATTATGGAAGACGCACCCAAAAATTAGCTGTGGACAAAAGACTAGTCATCGGTATTGCCTGTGGTCTCCTTGCAGCTGACCTTTCCCCAATTACTGACTTACCATGCCTTAATCTGCAACTGTATTGAAGCAGCAGGGCATTCCTTACTCATGTCAGAGCCTTCAGCAAGTAGAATGGTGAACAGCAAAGTAGTGACATCACCAAAGCTTATTCCAAATCTCCTGAGAATAGCAGTCAGAGGCATAGTGCAAATGATCTCACATTGCAGATATACAGCTACAAGGCTACAGAGCAGGAGTGTTACTCTTGCATATCAGGTAGTGGACTGCCATTTTTTTTTTTTAGAGGAATTCCAGACAAAAAGGGTGACTCTTTTAGGCACAAGTAACATTTGTAGCTGTTTTCTTAAACTTAGCAAAACTTGACTTTTTGAGATAAGGTCCCCTTTAAATGCCAGCTTTATGTCTTATGCCATGCCCTACCCAAAGTGTATGTAAGGCCAAACTATATAATTTTAGTTTTGGATAGAGTCGGGAATATATATACCGTATTTTGCGGTCCATAAGACGCACCCGACCATAGGACGCAGGGAGGTCCGGCACGCCTTATGGAGCACTCGACAGACCGTAGCTTCTGTCACAGCTTCTATGACAGAAGCTGTAGTTAGTGACCGCTGAGATAGGTGGCGCTGTGATTACAGCACCACGGTCTCAGTGATCACACAGAGCAGAGAAAGGAAGTCCGTTCTTCGTCTGCTCTATGGTGATCTCAATCGTTGCCGCTGCTCGGTTTTAATACGAGTGATCTCATTAGATCACTCGTATTAAACGAGCAGTGGCTCCTACTACTCGCCCGGCGCCCGAAACTGCATGTCTCGGGCGTCGGTATTCGGTCCATAAGACGCAAGCACATTTTCCCCCTCCTTTTGGGGGGAAAAAAAGTGCGTCTTATGGAGCGAAAAATACGGTAATTAGCTATAAATTTCGCGCTGAAGTTGCTAGAAGGCCAGACCAATATAAAATAGGGAAGCGGGTTGTTTACCACGACAGTAGAAGTGATTTTTTTCTGAAGATATGGGTAAACAACGTGATTTAACAGCCTTTGAACGTGGGATGATTGTTGGCGCTCGGAGCCATGGAGCGAGTATCAGCAAAACAGCAGAATTCGTTAAATGTTCAAGAGCGGCTCATTGTTAAAGTGTTTAAAATCACTAGAACAGCCCTGGAGCTTGTATCTTAAACAGATCAGTAATGGCAGCTCCCATATATTTCAACAGATTACTTTTAACCAGTTGACATCCGCGGTGTTAAACCCCCTTCCCATCCAGGCCATTTTTCAGTATTCAGCGCTGCGGTATTATGGTTAAGTGAAACCAACCCATAACAAGAATGCTAGAAGGTAGAGTTTATTGGTAGAAGACTCCTTGTTGGTCTCCTTAGGGGAAAAAAGCACAGCAGTCTAGCACGTTAATCTGCCACCAACAGGCTTAGTTCCACTTTAAAATTTTACATTTGTTACATGTTCCCATTCACATAGCACAAGCTAAATAGAATATTTAAAAATGTAGCTTAAATTGCTTTTACTTTGGTTAGGGTTTCTTGGCTTCTTAAGGGTTACATTTTCTACTTGGCTTCTCCTTTTTTTTGGTAATGTTAGGCAGGACTTTGAGGGCTTTGCATTGTATGTTAATGAGAGGAACACAATCCTCAAAATTTCAGTCCCAAGTCTTTCTATAAGGACAGATCACTGTGAAAGTCCGCAAAAATCCTGGAATCTAACTAGTGAACTGAGTGTCGATTTAACTCTCCAGCGTCTACCAAAAGCTCAAATATAATTGTTTGGGTGGTACAATGAGTTATGCAGCTGACTCATTATATGTCTATTATCTGCTGAGAAATCCAAAATGGGCTTGGATGTTCATCACTGATCTAATGATCTTTTGTTTAGACATCGTCCTTCCAAAAAGTTCACATCAGTGGATTAAAATTACAGTCATAAGAGTAATGTTCTTTTACTGACATTTTTATCTCCCTGTCTTTTCAAGACAAACCAAGAATGATAACACAATGGCTAAGAATCAGTGACCTAAATAGTTATAACCATAAGCTCATCCATGGTGGAGAATATTTGCTTTGCTGCGGTGTTGCTACTCAGACTTGAAATTAACTGTATAATGCAGTCAAGTAAAGGTCAGCCTACTTTATAAAATGCACTAGTAGTTGGAAGGAAAGCTCCAACCCAATGCTTAGCTAAAACATTTTCCAATGAGAGGTGGTTGATTTAACACCACTCTGCAATATAATTAATTTATATGTGTGTGTGTGTAATTATATATATATA